TATGGCTTCACAAGATTTTTACAGAATTGGAGGTGAGTATTCAAAAGACAGGTGTTCCCGAAGCTCTGCAAACAGGGTTTCTCACTACTCCCGTGAGCTTGTCTAGTGATCTGTCAGCTGTGCTTTTATGTATAGTGCTGGGGGCTCGCATCATTTGATGTTTTAACTATTACCTATTCTTTACTCATCATTATGTAATTACCAGAAATGAGAATTCAGAACCAGGAAGTTTTTAGATATGCTGAAGAACATAGAACTCCAATTCTGAAGAAAATTCAAGTTTAACTCCTCTTTTTGGGGATCATGTACATACATATTTACAAAAAAAACCACAAGGACTATGGTGTAGGAGGTCCTTCTGTTTGTGTGTTGCTTTCATTGGTTAAATGAATAAAGAAACTACTTTGGGCCTGATAGTGCAGAACTTAGGTAGGTGGAGAACACAGAACTGAATGCTGGGAAGAAGGGCAGAGAGAGAGACACCATGGATCTTCTGCCTGAGACGGACGCTGGTTAGAATCTTGCCAGTAAGCCACAGTCACGTGGCGATACACAGATTAATAGAAATGGGTTAAATTAAGATGTAAGAATTAGCCAATAAGAAGTTAAGAGCTAATGGCCAAGCAATGCTTCAATTAATATAGTTTCTGTGTGGTTATTTCAGGTGTAAGCTAGCAAGGCAGCAGGGACGGAACAAAGGGCCCCCTCTCCCTTGCAACAGGACTGAACTGCCTTTCCCAAGGGATGCTGAGCTCCTTGCTCTGAATCTTTATCTTTCTACCACAGCTCCTGGTCCCTTCAAACACAGTGAAACACCATCTCCAGCACTCTTATGCCTAAAGTCCTACGCTTTTGGAAGTGTTGGTTGGGTGGGGGGAACAGTTATCATTATCCTACAGAAAATCACATCTTCCATTTTCTATGAAATTGAGAGAACTCTTGAGCCTATGAGCCTATGGAGTTCTTAGGTGCCAATGGTAAAAGCATCCTGACTCACTCACAAGGTAAGAGATATGTTTGAAGCTATTACTTTACAGCTTCCTAAATTACCAGACAACATGGAAATGCAGGGTAGAAGAACAGTCAGGGATAAGCAGTTTAGGCAGGAGCTGGGAGCAAAAGGGAAATCAGTTATAGAGTGCGTGGGTGGCTCGTCTGTGCTGCAGTCACTGCACACTGGGCCTGAGCAGCTGGAAGGAGGGTGAGGAACTTGTATCTAGCTTCTCAGCTTCATCCATGGATGATAGACTCTGGAAAGAACTTGCCCACATATGGGCAAGATCCAGAGACAAAACCCAACTAAAAACCAGAGGGAAAGAGGAGAACAGGAGATAAGAGAGCTATATAGACATAGTAGATATACATAGGTAGATAGACATGGCTGGATGATAGACAGACAGACGGATAGATGGCTGGATAGCAGGGCAGATGATAGACAATAGATAAATACAAAGAGGATTGATTGATGATAGACAGATAGTTGATGATAGATAGATAGATAGATAGATAGATAGATAGATAGATAGATAGATAGACAGATAGACACACAGTGCTAGAGAAACATAGATTATAGGTAATATATCAAGGGAGATAGATAAAAATAATAGATTAAAGATAGATAGATGATAGATAGATAGATAGATGATTGATAGATAGATGATAGATAGATAGATAGATAGAGAAAGAAAGAGATAGGTAGATAGGCAAACAATAGATACATCTCTTTCCTAAAACAATCATTTTAGAAAGTTAAATGCATTGGTGTCTGCAAAAATCAAGCAATAAATAATGATCTTGGTATGTTATCTTAACTAATATCAGTAACAGTATGAAAGCCCAATTTAATAGACACACACACATTGATCTTGTCCTTTGGTCAATGGGAAAAAATGAGTAACGTGTACCTTTAAAACTTGGTTGTTTTCTGAGTGCTCACTCAGTAGCCTAAGCTGGTCTCAAACACACAGTCTTCCTGCCTAGGTGCCTGGACTCTGGGATCACTGCTCACGACAGCATGCCCAGATGTGCAGAATCATTTCTACCAAACTAATAGAGGAACAAGCTCTTTAATTCTCCCTGTAAGTTTACACCAAACCACAAAGTTTCTGATGCCTTCTGAGGATGTATACATGGACAGCTTCTTACCACACTCTGTTAGGCCAAAATTATCTCAGGGCCTGTACCTCGAGGCCTATAGGACATAAAAAAAGCCTGGCTCGAGTTTGAGTAAGGATGAGACAGCAAAAATTAGGTAAATGTCCCTCCTGATAGAGGGAGGGTCTGGCTGCCTCTCATTGGATAGAGGTACCCCCTATCCAACATCACACCATGTCACTTAACCTATGTAAGCTGACACTCACAGTAATAAGCAGAGTGCCTGCTTGAATCGACTCCCTATCGCATTTGATTGTCCTGCATCATGGAGCTGTGGAATGGGCAGAGAACGCACTCACCTTTTCTTGCCTGGCAAATGGAGGCTCAAAGAAGCCAGGAACTGGTGCCCAACATGGGGTACTAGTCCCAGGGCAAAGCGGTCTCAGGGTGAGTGGAAGTCCATGATGGGTAACACAACCTCGGGGGAGGAGAGAGGCGAAGAGGAGCAGGAAGAGGTCAAAGATTGCGAGAGGTCTAAAGAATTCAAAAGTAAAGGTTAACTGATTAACCAAAAAAAACAGAAGGAAAGGAGACAGACAAGAGTGAAGATCAAGAATGGGCACAGTTTACTGAAGAGCGGTCCCGGGGGAAGGAATATGGCAGCACAGGTAAAGACAAAAAGGAAAGTAGATATTGTCTGTGAAGAGGACTGGCTGCCTCCTTATGCCCCCAGTCATCCTGGAAAGGATAAAATGGGGAAGGGGAACAGGACAAATAAGGGGGCTCCGTCCTTGCCAGGAAGAAATTAATATACCAGCCTCTGGGAGGAACATGGAGCGGAGCGTCCTGCTGATACATACTTACACTGAGGCCTAAAGGGCTAGGGTTTACAGACCCCAAGCCTTCCCAGTCAATGTTGCCCTAGCACTGTTCGCCCCCTAGCCTGGTACCCTTGTGAATCTAAAGACCTAAAAGAATTGAGGAATGCAGTGACGGAGGATGGCCCCAACTCGCCTTGGGCCATGACCCTCCTTCAGGAGGTAGCCTACCATCCTTGTGTCCCCAAGGACTGGAATGATCTGGCCAAGGCTACCCTGGGTGATTCCAATATGTTAAATGGACAGCCTTCTTTAAGGAGGCCTGTGGCACAAGGGCAGAGTTCAATAGAGTAGCCGACCCCCCAATTTCCATCACTTATCCAATGCTAACTGGTATGGGGGCAGGCTTTTCCACTGGGGTCCAACAAGCCGGGATTGCAGCTCCTCCCTATTGGGAACAAGTTAGACAAGCAGGCCTGGAGGCCCGGGCCAAGCTAGAGGAGGGACCCACTGAATTACCTATAGCTGGCATGAAGCAAAAACCAGGGGGAGCCGCTTCCTATTTATTGTCTGTGTGCAGACTAGCCTTGAGAGGAAATTGCCCCCCTGTGGGCTTAGAGACAAATTCATTAAACTTTTAGTCTGGGAAGGTACGAACCGAGATACTAGGATGGCTCGTGCTGGCCTTAGGGAAGGGCCCATGAGTCAATGGGTTGTAGCATCGCAGAATGTCGGGACCCAGTCACATACCAACCAGACTCTTGTGCCGGCCCTTCGGGCCCAGACCTAAACTCTAGCCTCTTCTGTTACTCAAGCCCTGGTGGTTACTCAAGCCCTGGCAGCTGAATAGCAAAAGCAAACACCTGGGAAATGTTTCTTGTGTGGTCAACTGGGGCATTTTAAGAGGAATTGCCCACAAAAGGGCAATAAGACCCAGGTGCGGAAGGGACACCCTCTGTATCCCTGTCCTTGCTGTCACAAGGGGTACCATTGGGGCACAGAACGCTGCACCAAATTTTATATCAATGGGAAACCCATCGCAAATCAACCTTTAAACTAGATGTGGGGGGGTGCTGCCTTCCTGTCCCCTTAACCAAAGGAAGGAAAGATGTACCTTCAGTTAACTGGACCATTCCAATGGTAGAGGGGTTCTGACCCAATATGACTATGATTTGTGGGGGGACAAAGATTCCAATGCCTGATAGGCATGGGAGCTCACAGGATGGTCCTCAGAAAAGAAGAGGTCCCAACCAGCTGGGATCTCACAACCGGGCTGCCTATCTCTAGGCCAAGGGAGAAGAAAAAAGAATGAAAGAACCCGGGTCAGAGCAAGGAGATGCTGAAGGTAGCAGCGGCAGTGAGCAGGTGCCCTTGGGCAGAAGCCCCGGAGACACGGAGCCTCTGCAATCCTAGCCACGTGCCCCGGGGCACTTGGCTTGGGCCAGGTGGGGCAGGGCAGCAGCTTCTGGAGGTTGTGGCACCACAGCTGCCCACTGGGCTTAGTCAGGGTGCTGGCTGTGCTGCTCTCCCCCACCCCCCCCACCCCACCCCCGCCTGCCAATCCAGGCAGCAGGGATGCTCAGCTCACCACCATGGACAAGGTATTCAGCTGGACCAGTGGGTGGAGCAACTGAACAAGTGTAAGCAGCTGAACAAGAACCAAGTGCGGGTCACTCTTAGAAGGTAAATATATATATTCAGCATCTCAGAGGACACCAAAACCTCCCTGGCCTCGTTTCCCAGGGGAATGCAGCTGCAGATGCTGCAGCTTCAGGGGCCCATCTCATAGAGGTCTCAACTCCGCTCATACAAAATGCTACACAAATGCATGACTTAACTCATGTCAACTGGAGAGGACTCAAATACCTATACCCCCAGATCCCCACAACAGAATTAAAGAGAATTGTTCATGCATGTAAGACTTGCCAACAGTTTCTCCGCACCCCACCTTTATAAGGGCTGGGGTGAACCCAAGAGGGTTAGGACCCAATATCATCTGGCAAACAGATGTAGCACATTACTCTCCATTTGGCAAATTAAAATATGTTTGTGACCATAGACACATATTCTAAGGCATGCTGGGATACCGCTCACTGGGGGGGAAGGCAATTCATGCCAAAAGCTATTTATTACAATGTTTTGCTACTTTGGGACTACCACAACAGGTCAAGGCCAACAACGATCCCTGTTTTATAAGTAAAACATTAAAAGAATTCTCCCAAAGATGAAATATATCCCATACCACCAGGACTCCATACAACCTTCAGGGCAAAGCAATTGTTGAAAAACATCACCAATATCTCAAAGAGGTTCTTATAAAACAAAAAAGGGGGAGAAGTCTCCCCCATCTACAACTGCAAAAGGTGTTATTCAATATTTTAAATTTTCATAAATCACATGAACAAAATAGATTTCAGAAACATTGGGGGTCCTTACCAATGAGGCCCTGCCTACAGGTTAGATGGAAAGATCCTCTCACTAACCAATGGAGGGGCCCAGATCCCTTGTGACACAGGGCCCAGGATATGGATGTGTCTTCCCAAACAGAGGGGAAAAACCGACATGACTACCCACTTGTAACTTAAATTTCTCCCCTCCCCTCAGGACAATGAGGAAGACCAAGATGACCAATTTAAGGTGGATAAACCTAAATTCAAACATAAGACTAAGAAAAATAACCATTGCCCAAGGGAGATTAACCATTGGGGAGAGTGTTGTCTGTTTATCTATTTCAGAACTCTGGCATTGGAGGGACCCTAAACCAGACTTCTCAGATGATGTCGCCCTGGACGTGGTAGTCTGACCTGATGTCTGACCTCTGTGATTTGGCACATGGGAGCTGGGTTGTGGGAGACTGGATTCAGGGGATAGAAGGGAGACCTGAATGTGGAGGTTCTCGGGGGTGCACCCTACCCCAGGCATCTTACCCTAATGAGCCTGGGTGTTCTCATGTCCATAGGAGACATTCCCTCCTACAGATACCCTTTTATGTATACTCAGGAAGCAACTGGACTGCCTCCACTATCAGAAACTATGTGGGGTGGGGGGAGCCTCCTGTTTACTATTGTTCTTCCTGGGGATATGAGCAGACTGGGCTGGACATAATTAGAAAAGACAGAGACTGCATTACGTTATTTACAAAAGTCTTTGGATTCCTTAGTGTTAAGAAAAATCCTCTTGGCCAGCACACAGAAATCCAGTCAGGCCAAATTAAACCAAATTAAAATGTCCATGTTTTAATAAATGTAGCACTCTTGGGTGGCTGAGAGCATGGCAGGGGAGACAGAAAACCGGGCCAACTTTCGGCTCTTCCCTCTTCCACATTGTCCCATGCCCACAAGAAGAAGTCAGACTTGAAGCTACGCCCCTTTTTCCAAAGAGAGCCTAAAATGTTGGTCATAATGATCACCTCAACTTCCTGTCACCCTTATATGCAAAGAGTCTGGAACGTGATGTAAAGTTGGGAGCATCACCCTGACATCCATCTCAGCCCCTTGGCCTGGAAGTTGCATTGGTCTGGACTCCAAATCCCAGCATGCCATGGTCAGGACCACTCCCACAGGGTATTAAAGTAGGCACCCAGAGGAGGAACACGTGGTCCTGGGTTTTGTATGTGCTTCCCAGTTTTCTGCCTCCCCTGCCATGTTCTTGGTCACCTGAGAGTGCTGTATTTATTAAAACATGGGCATTTTAATTTGGTTTGACCTGATCTGATTGGATTTCTGTGCACTGGCAGAGAAGATTTTTCTTAACACTTAACAAGGGTAAACTTACATAATAGGAGAGGCTTGGATAAGTTAAGAAACATTATTGATGCATTTAGTCAAGGACCCCCTAGGAGATCTGATTTAATTGATCCCATCTTGTGGTAAGATGGCTTACCACACTCATCTCTTCCCTAATTGGGCCGATGGTTATTTATTTATTGATCTGTCTTTTTGGCCCATTTGTTTTCCAAAAGCTGAAATAATCATTCCAAAAACAGATACAACAGGTACATGGCCCTTTGAGTACACTATGATAGCTCAATACATCTCACCCCACGGATGAACTCTCAGTTTGAGGGTGTCCAGGCTGAAACCCTGGGTAGGGGTGGCCCTGACCCATACTCTCTCCCCAGTGGGCTACTCTAGCTTGGTGACCGAGGTAGAGGGTGGGATATATAAAATGATGGAGGAGGGTTATCTGTCTATTGTGTTATTTTCATTGGTCAATAAAGAGACTGCCTTGGCCCCTTGATAGGACAGAAAATTAGGTAGGCGGAGTAAACAGAACAAAATGCTGGGAAGAGGCCTATGAGCCAGAAGCCATGGAGCCAGCCACCAGGTCAGACATGCTGAATCTTTTCCGGTAAGCCACCACCTCGTGGTGCTACAGATTATTAGAAATGGGTTAATATCAAGATATGAGAGTTAGTCAGTAACTAACTCTCTAGAGATAATGGGCCAGGCAGTGCTTAAATGAATACAATTTGTGTGTTGTTATTTTTGGGACTAAGCTAACCGTGTGGGAGCTGGGCAGGATGAAATGCAGGCCTGCCCGCAGCCCCTCACTACAATAAAACAAAAGGGGAAGATGTTGGGATAAGATTATCTCAGGGCCTGTACCTCGAGGCCTATAGGACAGAAAAAAAGCCTGGCTCGAGTTTGAGTGAGGATGAGACAGCAAAAATTAGGTAGATGCCCCTCCAGCCAGAGGGTGGGTTTGGCTGCCTCTCATTGGATAGAGGTACCCCCACATCACACCATGTCACTTAACCTATATAATCTGGCGCTCACAGTCATA